CAACCACAAATACACAACCACTGCACAACCACAAACACACAACCACACATACAATCACAACCAAGCAAAATCGAGAACCGCAAAACTCACCATAATGTGGGAGCAATCAGTTCGAAGATATGCCAGAGTGACTGGGCCGGATGGATTTCCATATCTGTTGGCGCAGCTGTTTGCGAAGAGACTTGAGACAGGCAACATCCTCCAGCATGTATAGTACATATTACTACTGCTCCTCCTACTACTACTGCTACTGCTGCTGCTGCTGCTACAACGACAACGACAATGACTACGACTACTACTACTGCTGCTGCTGCTGCTGCTACTACTACTACTACTACTACTAGCACTACGACTACTACTACTAGTACTACAACCACTACCATTACCACTACCACTACTACTATTGTTATTGTTATTTTTACTACTATTACTACTACTACTACTACTACTACGACTACGACTACGACTACGACTACGACTACTAACTACCACTACTACTACTCTACTACTACTGCTCGGGCCCCGGAAGTTTCCCAGGTTCGGGCCCAGAAGCTCGGGCCCCAAACGGTGTCCAACAGCAACTGCTACTACCACTACCACTACCACTGCCACACTACTGCTACTACTACCACTGATTACCACACCACCACCACCACTACGACGACTACTACTAACACTACTACCACTACAACCACTACTAACACTACTACCACTACTACCACTACTACTACTACTACTAATACTACTACGGCCCCGGAAGCTTCTCAGTTTCGGGCCCCGAAGCTCGGGTCCCGAACTGTGAACTACCATTGCTACCACTACCACTACCACCACCACTACCACTACCACTACGACTACTACTACTACTGCTACTACTGCTACTACTACTACTACTTCTTACTACTTACTACTTACTACTACTACTTCTTACTACTTACTACTTACTACTACTACTTACTACTACTACTTACTTACTTACTTACTTACTTACTTACTTCCTTACTTACTACTTACTACTTACTACCTACTACCTACTACTTACTACTTACTACCTACTACCTAGGGTTTGTGCAACAACAGCCAGCAACAAATGAGTAGGCTTTGTAGCGCAGGCAGCGGCAGCGGCAGCAGCAAGCAGCAGCAAGCAGCCAACCAGCAGCAAAACAACACCAACAACCCAACAGCAGCACAAGGTAACCAGCAGCATCCCACCAGCAGCGGCCAAACAGAAGCAGCAAGCTGGCAGCAGCAAGCTGGCAGCAGCCAAACAGCGGGCAGCACCAAGCCAGCAGCTAACCAGCAGTAGCTAACCAGCAGTAGTAGCCAACCAGCGCCAGCAAAATGGCAGCAGCCAACCAGCAGCAGCAAAACAGCGCAGCGCAGCAGCAGCAAGAGCAGCAGCAGCACCCAACCAGCAGCAAACCAGCAGGCTAGAAACCACATCATCGCATGGCACACCGTTTTCACTCATTCCACGTCACAGGAGCAAATCCCACATTATCCCCATGGCACACCGGCTTCCGATCTCTGCCAGAAGTATGCTCAGACCACGACAAAGCCCATGGTTAGCTTGCGTTTTGCCTTCTTTGGTGTCTGTGCGCGCGTGCGCGTTCCTATCTTTCAACGACTGTGCAGGACACTCTTCCGCATGGCACACCTGTCGAAAAATGTGAACATGAACGCTTGAAAACATGAACCTGCAAATCGCTCCTTGCCTCGGGGGCCAATGTAAATTGAAGAGGCCTTTGCTTACACATATGTGTTGTGACAATGGCAATCCCCATGGCACACCTCTGGGGGTCCTGGTGCCTGGTGGGCTGGGCGAGATAGAGGGCGAGGTGTGGGCGAGGTATTGGGCGAGATGAACACGTTTGCCCAGAAGACCCGTGCCCACCAACACCCAAACAAAAAAGTCCTTACGACTAAGTCACGGCAACGTCCTTGCGATACTTGTTTCCGCATGGGGCACCGCGTTTCACCAAACAGGCCTGCCACCAAGCTTGAAACCATGTTTCCAATACCCAGCCTGCAATGGAAGAAACCTGCTATAATATGCAAGACAATGACAAGCAGCAACTGATAGCCCAGGCCGCAGCAGCAGCAGCGGCAGCGACAAGCAGCAAGCAGCAGTACCGGCAGCAATTAGCCAGCAGCAGCAGCTAGCAGCAGCTGCAGCCGCCAACCAGCAGCAAGCCAACAGCAGCCAACCGCCAGCAGCAGCAGTAGCCAACCAGCAGCAGCAAGGCAGCACCACCAGCAGCAGAAAACCAGCAGCAGAACGGCAGCAGCAGCGAACCAGTAGCAGCCAACCAGCTGCAAACCAACAGCAGCAAGCCCGACATGTATTGATTACCATAGATTACCAAACAACAAACGCCTCCACCCCTAGACACGAAACTGTATGGGGACACCGCTTCGCAACGACTTTTAATCAGACTGCTCCTCGCTCATCCGCTTTGATGGAGATGGGGCCTTCTCGAAAAGGCTTCAACTATATGGGTTGCCAAAAGAAACCTCTAGAAACAAGTTCAAATTCATAGCTATTCGATAGCTTACCCAAATGGTATACTGGTTTCACAGACATTGCAGTGTGAACGCGTCAAAGCCAGTGTGCCACGCGGATCTGGCATCAATAAGATGGAGAAGTATGTTTCTCATCTCTTCTAGGTTGCACTGCTTTGATGGCCCCCCCCCCAATGGCACACCGGCTTCGATGCGAGATCTTGACCACGATAGGGGTAAACACAGGCACCCAGTATGTAGAAACAAATGCATGAGGCAAATGAGGCCTGCCCTCTGTCTGCCCCAACATTGGTTGGGAAGCGCAACTTAGGCTGGTTGCATTCCAAGCACCAGTCACCAAAACAAACAAACACACAGTATGAAGTGACCAAGCAATGATCGTCTACACTCGACTCCTAGACACAAAACTGTTTGGGGACACCGTTTCGCAACGACTCTTGAAAAAGCCCTAGCCACAATGTAGTGAAGCCAAAACATGAAATCGCAACGACGCACTTGGGAGTACAAGAACTTGAGACAGAATCAATAGTGTGCCCTTGCGGTTTGGTCGAATTCTCAACCTGCGATCATCAACAACATACATACAAAAGGTAGCCAAATCAAGCTTTCCCCCAAGGGCACACCTCATCTGGCACAAGTTCATGCCATTCGAGATAAGTTAACCCGAGCACCCAGTACAAAACAGGATCTAGAAGATAGAATCAAAAAACAAAACAAAAAAACAAACATTTGCACAAATCTAATCTAATACTATGTCAGCAATTTCCAAATTGCAAACTCAACAGCACAGTGACGAACTTGTTAAAAAGGGGCCCTGATGTCTGCGTCTCCGACCCCACGGTGGCCGCTCAAACACCACCCGGTCCGGCTTGGGGCGCTCAGCTTTCCTTGAAACACGCGAAACGCAAGGGCGTCGCCAAATGTCGCCCCACTCTGAGGTTCTCGCGATGAGTTGTCCTCTGAGCCGCTGCTTCCCTCAGAGTCCTCAGTTGGCTTCTGGAGCCCCGTGCCAGGCTGCCCTCAAACTGCATCAGGTTCCGGCCATCTTTGAGGAAATACCGAACTGACAGTGTAGCTGAACACAATGTGCGTGATGAGGCTCGTACCCTGGGAGGGCCAAGCTTGTAGTCGTGTGCGCCAGAACGAGCCCGGACCACATCCTGGAAAACGCAGGAGCAAACATGCCCAACATCCTAGGGCCCCAGTTGTCCTCCAGCTCCCCCCCCCCAAAAAAAAAAGCTTTATGTACTGCTCAAGCCTAGCCTTTTTGCAAGGTCTTATTTTGATACCTGATGTGACTGCTGTTGCACGTGTGGCGACTTGGTTGTTCAAACGCTTCGTCCTCTCGACTGGGAGTGCCACCTCGGGCACCGGCTGCCTCCCGCTCAGGTGTTTGGTTTGCCGGGGGCAGGCTGAGTCATGGGGATAGTACAGGACGCTGTGGAACTAGTCAAGTCATGTTATGGATGCATCTTAGGAAGGTCACAGCACCGGATCTGTATCCATGTGTATCCCCTGCCTCCTCCAGTGCTCTAATCAAGTTCCTAGGATGGCAGCAAAGCAAGGGAAAGCAATACTAACTACTTCATCCTAAAACAAAGCCTAGGGCCTAGACCCATTGCCGAAGGTTGGTCATGCTCGACTGCTGATATGTGACACTTCGAGCGATCCAATGCTTTTGCTCACTCGGGGCCAGCCCGCAGAATCTTACCTATTTCTGTCCTGACTCCTATTCGCAAGGCCGACATGCCCAGTAAAGCACCCGGCCAAACATTGATTATATAAGGGTACGTACATTCGGGCTCTTCACGAATGTCTTTCATCAATCACCTGTCTTGGCCTCTTTGATGTCAAGCAACTCATCATTGATTTGCACTCCAGCGGCCTGGTCGTGTGCCATGTGATCCTACCGCCCATGTGGAGCTGAGGATGTGAGGGGGTTCATTCTTGCGGAAGCTCATAACGCAGCACTCGCTCTTGTTTCCACATGCTGCCGGCATTGTCACGATAAATCTCAAAAGCTCACAGGTGGAGAATAGGGACAGTCAGTGAAATGGCCTATGTGATTGCCTTCCAACAGGCACGCACGGGAATTCAAATATGCACCATCCGAAGCAGAGTTGGGGTATCCCAGAAGGCACTTGATGTAATGATGTTTTGCAAAGTCTTTTGCGGTGATGGGTTCACAATCCTGCAGGCTCTTCCAGTTGGCCTTCTCCCGGATCGCCGGCGCCTGAAATTCTGCCGTGATATTGGCGCTGCACAACACCTTTGTGGCAAGCACGATGTTGTCATCCAGCCAATCGGCCAAGACCAGCTCTTCCTGAGCGCCGGAGGCGAAAGAAGTGACGTACTTCTGGTTCGAAAGTCCAAAGGCATAGCTGCGTGTCTCCGAAAAATTTCCCGCCCTAAATGGTTGATGAAAATGAATCCCAAGCCCAAACGTGCAATCTTCGAATTTCGTGTGGCTTGATTGACGTGTTTTGGCCCAGATTCGTTCTGAAAGTGATACGTCTCTTGGATCTCCAAGCACTTCTGCTTCGACCTCTCAATCCAAAAGCTGCTGTTCTTCATCATTACAGCATCCAAGCCCTGGTTCTGCAGGTACCCTAGCGAATACCCATAGAGATCATCATAGCTGTAGTGCGGCAAGTCCATATAAGTTGTAAGCACCTGCAAGCCGGTAAGCCGACCCACTCGGGTGACCCCGAAAACTCGTTGACCATCGTTTCCCCCCCCACCTGGCCCTCGAAGTGAAATGTGATCAAAGGACCTTGATCTTTACCATGATAATCCGCACCTCTGAGCCCGAGAATGCCCTGGATGGAGGATGTTTCAAAATTGGGTGGCACTGGTAGAGGCGACACCCAAAAGCCAGTTTGATTGAAGTAGCAATAGCCATCCTCCCCAGGATGTTCGGCCATGACGTCTGGAACTGGCCGGTAGCAATCCTGTCCGTGCGTATGAACCTTGCAATTGTTGGAGCAGAAAGCATTGGCATCTGGATCGCATGTCTCTTGAATCAAATGTCCGCAGTTTGTGAGATTTCTCGCTTGTCCTTTCTTGAGGTGGGTATTTGTTCCTGAGACGCTGGTTTCCAGTTGCAGCATTCTCACGTCGAAGGAGCTCTCCGGACAGTCGTCATTTGCAGAAGTAGCAGCTGCCCCTACAAACAGGGCCAATAAGCAAAGCGCGGCCATGAGGGTTCGACCGCTACAAAGAAGTCTTGACTACAAAACAGCGCAACAGAACGAATTGTCAGCTGTAAGTATCCCAAGTATCCCAAGTATCCAATTACAATGCCGCCAAAAGTTAAAAGAATACATATATATATATATATGTAATTATATAGTTATATAAATTTGACTAGAAGAAAAAAGAAGAAGGAACAGGCAGTCTTATATTATATATCATCACCCTGTCCAGGCTGAAGCACAAAATCAATAGTTGAATCGTGCAAATACAGCCCCGAGTGCCAAAGAACATGTCGAATTAGGAAAAAGCCTCCAGGCAAAACACTTCAAGTAGCTTGGATTAAGGGTCTACATGGATTTGTTGAAATGTACTGTCTACTACGAATCATGGTGCAATCTCAGTTTGCATTTACAATGCCGTTGGTCAGGACAGAGCACGCCAGCGAGCTGCGCCTTCAACGCCGCACCCACAATCTCCGGGGGTGGGCGGCCCGCGTCTGGCGCTGCCAGGAGCAGCATGCGCACCTGGAAGGACATCAAGAGCTCCATCAGTTGGGGGCTGAGCAAGACATCACAAGACTAAGACACGAGGCAAGAGAGCCGCCAAAGACCTCTAGATCGTCATGAGGCAAATCATTTAGGCTGCCAAGTGCGCGTGTCTAAAAAGAAAGCCTAAGCTGCAGCCTCCAGGGTTGAACACGCCGAGACGCAATTTCATGAAGGAGGCAGAACCGGAATCATTTGAATGAAACAGTTTTTGAGAAACAACCCGATCTAAAGTGCTTGAAAACTCAGATCATATCACCACTCACTCCCCCCCGATCCCACGGTACGACTGTAAATGATGGGAAGAACGCCCATGATAAAACAATCAATGAAAGCATAGAAACACTACAACAACATGCAAGTGAAGCATCAAGTGAATTCCAATTGTACAAATTGTGTTCATTGCTGTGGAACTTCCTGGACTTCTGGAACCGGTGGGTGGATCCTTATTGCCACCAAAAGGAACGCCAAGAAGGCACAAGAACACCTAACCATGGACAAAGGCGCATTTTCCCCAAATAGGCAAACATTTCTGCCCAAGGAGAGGTTTCTAGGTATGTTGAAATCTGGCTCCGACATGGACAGGATAGAATGGGGTTGCAAAAAACCATCCACTTCCACCACTTCTCTGTTTGGACCTGGAAACTTTTTTGATCCTTGCTGTCTTGCCACTGATCGCCACACGGGCCCGTACAGGTCAGGAAAAGCTGTTCTGTCCGGCGCCGAAGGCGGGTCCCAGGGTCGCTTTGGAGGAATCGCTCACCCCTGTCTGACTAGAGTAGCCTGGGCCTCGACAAATGGACCCTTGTTCCTAGTAGCTTCTTGTTACTACTAGTAAGGCACTTGTTACTAGAAGCGATGTACTTGTTCCTAGTAGCTTCTTGTTACCAAAAGTTGTGCGATTGACAAAGCTCCAAGCCCCTCACCACATCTTCCGGGCTTTGAGAGCTCCGCCGTGGGCCTCGGCGAGGCCGGTGCGAGGAAAGAGGAGACATCGCATGGTTTTCAAGAGCCCCTCTGTTTGGAGGATTTATATATGGCCATGTTATAAAGGTGATCACCTGGTAATGTTGGGGTCCAATCTTTTGGAGGTTGATACCTTAGTCACAGGTTCAACCCGAACGTGGCATATTTGAAAAAAGAAACAACCGTCGCCATTTAACAGACTGTAATGAACGCCCCTTTGGGCGACTGGGTGGCCCTTCGTCGGATCTGCATTTCATTGGCCAGCGCCTGGTGGTCGAGTGAGCACGTCTCGATCAACACGATTGACCATCGCCGGATCAATGCTCAGGGTCGGCATGATTGCACGACAATATCACCCTTTGTCCCTTTGGGATAAATTTGCTTAGTAGGGCCAAGAGCCCCTACTTAGTAGCTTCTTGTTCCTAGTAGTAAGGCCAGGAGCTCCTAGTAGCGTCCTTGCTCCTAGTAGTAAGGCCAGGAGCCCCTAATAGCGTCCTGTTCCTAGTAGTAAGGCCAGGAGCCCCTAGTAGCGTCCTTGCTCCTAGTAGTAAGGCCAGGAGCCCCTAATAGCGTAGTAAGGCCAGGAGCCCCTAGTAGCGTCCTTGCTCCTAGTAGTAAGGCCAGGAGCCCCTA